AAAGGTAAAATTACAAAAATGTGTGAAATTTTGTGCTTAACATTTTTGCAGTTGACAATTTTTTGTTATCTATTGTAGTTTTTGAGTTATGCGCTTTTAAAGTAAGCGCTCCCTCTGAGCACGCCAAGGAAGGGGAGACGCAGAAAATGATGTCAACTTTAAAAATTATTTATTTAATTTTGAGCAAAAAATCAAATAATCTATGCAAACTAAAGAAATGACTAGAATATGACAAAGAAAGCCTGGGGAGAAAATTTAAAAAAATAAATTATTCAACACATTTCGAGATCGTCTTAATTTCGTTGTTGGCCCGTTCCAAGTCTCTGGCGTCTACTATCGATTTTTCCGGAGCTATCGATTGATTGTTTTTGTGGCAGCAACATTTGGAGAACTTCTGGAATTTCCAAAGCATTATTTTGAGCCAGAATGGGCAATTTTAAGGTCAAAATCCCCCAATTCTCTTGATTTTAATCATAAAGTGTTAGAAATTCCTACCTCTATTAGAATATCCGTGGTCCATAACAATATAGCCATGATATGGAGAGAAATCACAAAAAGACGATGGGTTCCTGCGCCGATATGGTCGAACATGAGGAAGGCGTAGTAGCCAAGGACACCACAGCAACGAGCGATTTCGATATAACGGGCGTACCATCTGAAAAAAGACAGCTAGAAAAGTTTTGAAAATATGAAAATATAGAGCTTGAAATTTTACACATTTTACTGGGTAAAAATTTTTCATAGCTATCACTGTTTTTGAGATATGGGGCTTTAAATTTGTCGCGCCGGTGAGAAAGGGTGGCGCTGCCAATTTTAAAGACGCTTAACTTAAAAAGTACTGTAGCTATCAAAAAGTGAATTATAACAAAATGTGTACAATTTAAAGTTCTACATTTTTGCGATTGACAAATTTTTGCTAGCTACAGTAGTTTGTGAGTTATGCGCCTTTAACGTTGTATCGCTTCCTTGCCGGGCGGAAGGGTGGCGCCAACTTTAAAGGCGCATATCTCAAAAACGGAGATAACTAGCCAATAGCTTTTAACTATCAAAATGTGTAAAATTTTGTGCTCTCTTTTTTGTAATTTACAATTTTTGTTAAATATCGTAGTATTTGAGTTATGCGTCTTTAAAGTGGTCGCGCCCACTTGTCTGGCGCCCGCACGGAAAGGGGGTGTCGGTCAACTTTAAAGGCGCATATCTTGAGAACTAGGCTAGATATTTGAATTTCGTAAAATGGAGAGGGAAGATAGTAAAATTTTTGAAAATTTATTAGTTAATTGATTTTTGCCAGCTACTGTAGCGTTTGTGCTATGCGTCTTTAAATTTGGCGCGCGCCCGAAAAAAAGAGGAGCAGGGCGCGACAACTTTGAAGGCGCATATCTCAAAAACTAGTTTAGCTATTTCAATTTTGTAAATTGTAAAATAAAACTTACGAAAATTAATACATTTTAATAGCTTACTAGTTTCTGCTAGCTACAGTAGTTTTTGAGTTATGCGCCTTTAAAGTTAGGTGACCCCCACTGGTGGCGGCGGCGAGGGGAGTAGGGTAGGAGGGTACGCAATCTTTAAAGGCGCATATCTCAAAAACGGTAATAGCTACTGAAAAGCTTCACCTAGGAAAACCTGTAAAATTTTATGCACTATATTTTTGTAGTTTGTATCTTTCGAATAGCTACAGTAGTTTTTATGTTATGCGCCCATGCATAACGCACCGGACGGGAGGGTGGTGTGCCAACTTTAAAGGCGCATATCTCAAAAGCGGTTATAGCTATTGAAACATTTCCAACTAACAAAATTTGCTAAATTTTTTGCTCTACATTCTGATAATTCGAAAATTATAAAAAAACTCACTTCATATCAAAAAACGCTCCAAAACATTGCATCGTCACCACAAAATACGCGATTTTCACCGAACATTCCAGATAACTCAAATTAATTCGATCGTATTCGAAATGAAAGAAAATTGCCAATAGAAGAATGAAAGAGACAGCAACATAAACTTTGACGATAATTCTGGCAGGTGGAGAATATTTTACAACGGGTTTCGAAGGTTCTGGAACCTTGTGGGAGGGGTCAACCATAGACATCCAGTGGAAGAATGGAGTCACAGAGACACCGGGAAACCAGCCGGGTGGGTAGATTATGGCCTGAAGGAAAGATTAGAACATTTGGGCTGAACTGAGCTTGAAAGTGAAGGGATTGGGCAATTCTGAAGTTTCCGAAATTTTCCAAAAAAAAACATTTTTCAAAAATTTTTTTTTCAATATTTCAAAATCCTCTAACTTCTCTCAAAATGCTCGGATTTGGATAATTTCTTGAATAAAAAGCTCCAAATTTTTTGTAGATTGCTCAAAATACTCACCTTAATTTTATTAACTATCCCTGGAAAAAGTGGCTCCCCTTTTTTGTCCTTCATGAATCCCTTCAAAAGAAAGAGGTCCCATAATGTGTGAAATTGCAAATAAATTTGATTAAATGAATTTTCATTGGTGATAAGCCCATAAATCGGTGGGTCCGTAGATCTTTCTGCTTCGAAGGTGTTGAACATCTGAAAAATAAATACATCGGGATTCAAGAAACATGGGTACGCACCCTGCAAAGCGTTCCCTATATTTAAAGGCACTTAACTCAAAAACTACAGCAGCTAGAAAAAATTAATAATTGGCAAAATGTAGAACTTGAAATTTTACACATTTTGTTAGTTGAAAGTTTCTTTATATGTATTGTAGGTTTGGAGTTATGCACCTTTAAAGTTGGGGGGGGGGCGCCCAGGAGAGGAGATGGCGCAAAAGCCTCCAACTTTGAAGGCGCGTATCTCCAAAGCTACAGTAGCTAGAAAAATGTTTAGAATATGGAAAGATGAAAAGTTTTATGTTGAGCAATTTTGTTGTGAACAAATTTATAGTGGCTTTTTTCGTTTTCGAGATATGCGCCATTAAATTTGGACTACTCGGCGCCCATCCTACAGAGGGGCGCAGAGGCAGTCGAATAACTTTAAAGGCGCAAAACTCGAGAACTAAAAATGATATTCAAACTTTGTAAATTGTAAAACGTAGAGTGTGAAATTTTAAATCACATTTTTCTATTTACTATTTTTGCCTAACTACTGTAGTTTTTGAGTTATGCGCCTTTAAAGTTAGCGCGCCCTGCCGGCCAGGATGAAAAGAGGGAGACGCAGAGAAGCGAGAGCGCTCTCGTTTCTCTGCGTCTCCTTCTCGCTGGGGTCTTTTTCGAGAAATTTCAGAGTACCTTCAAAGGCTTTATCTGTAATTTTCAGACAAAAAAATCTCGAAAACCATTTTTTTGAAAAATTTTGAAAATTCCAAAATTGGTTATTTTTTTATCTACTCACCTTATCCCAAATGATAAACACTCCACCGTAATTCTTATCAATACAATATGGGTTTCGACCGTGATGGACCCTGTGATGAGATGGGGTGTTAAAAACCAAGCCGAGTGGACCCATAGTGTCAACGAGCTGAAAATGTTTGAATTTCAGACAAATTTTTTTCCAAAACTTTTTTTCCAGATTTTCAGCCTATTTTAAGATTTTTTGGCTTCTCACCAGTTTTCAGACGACTATCTCCACTCACCGAGGTATGCATAATGAACTGAAAGATTTCTGAAAAATAACGATGGACCAAAAATATTGCCGGTGGAATGAAAAAGGCCTGTAGGCAATCGTAAATAGCTAATCCGGCGTCTTGAATTGCAGCCTGACGGAGAGCAGTGGAGAAATTATAGTATTCAGAGCTATGGTGAATTGTGTGAAGGCCCCAGAAAAATCCGGCTTCTGGAAAGAATTAAAAGTTTAGGGTGCTTATAGCGCGCCAACTTTAAAAGCGCATAGCTTGAAAACCACAGCAGCTAGCAAAATTTTGTTAACTACAAAAATATAGAGCATGAACTTCTACACATTTTGTTGGTTAAACGTTTTTTGCTAGCTACAGTAGTTTATGAGCTATGCGCCTTTAAAGTTGGCGTACTATAGCGAAGTGATGCGCGCGCCCACAGCGAGAGGGAGACGCAGAGAAACGAGAGCGCTCTCGCTTCTCTGCGTTCCCCTGGAGGTTTTTAAGATGCATATCTCGTTAGCCTCTCCAGCTATCAAAATCAAAAAGTTTTCCACTACAAAAATGAAGCTTATTTGCCTATTAAAAGTTTAAAAGATTTTCGAAACCCAAAAAATCTTACCATGCACCGCTCGATGTCCCAAATAATACATAAAATCTTGGAAAAACAGGCAAAGGATCCATGTCCATGGTGAATCCCAAGGAAGTTCCAGAATCCGCCAGTTATCCCATACCAAGACATACAGGAAGATGGCGACTGCGCGGCCACCGAATCTGGAAGTTTATTTTTAGAGTGAAAGAGTGGAATTTTTGAAATTTGAAAATTGGGGTAAATAGAGCTTAAAATTTTACACATTTTTCTAGTTGGCAGTTTTTTGATTGCTATTCTAGTTTTTGAGCTATGCGCTTTCGAAGTTGGCGCGCTCCGGAGAAGGGAGGACATGGGTGCGGTGCCTGCCTACTTTAAAGGCGCATAACTCAAAAACTAAGTTAGCTAACTAAAACTTATAAACTACGAAAATATAGCACATGACATTTTACACATTTTGATAGTTAACACAATCTTAATAGGTAGGTTAGTTTTTGAGATATGTGCTTTTAAAGTTTGCGCACCTCAAGGGTAGGGGTGTGGCGCCCCCTCCCCTTCTCACTGCGAGGAACGAGAACATAGAGACGGGAGCGGCTCTCTGGCAGTAGCATACCCCAACTTTAAAGGCGCATATCTCAAAAACTACAGTACCTATCAAAAAGTTGCTAACTGACAAAATATGTAAAATTTTAAGCTCTATATTTTTCCAGTTAACCAAAATTTTCCTATCATTTGTGGTTTTTGAGAAAAACTAGATAAACTTACTTGAAACACTGACTGAGCATTCCGGCGCATATTGATGTTATAGAGTCATTTAAAGCGAATCGGTCCTCATGTCCAGATATAAAAAGGATAACAAATTCGGCAGTTAAAAACGCCAGCCACCACGCGGACACTTCTGCATTGTAATTTGGGACGTCTTCGATTTTATCCACTGTCGTTTCATAGGGAGAAATTAGGTAGAAAGCGTGACGAAGATTCGTGAGGGTTAGACTGGAAATTCGGGAATTTTGAGTCATTTTTCATGAGTTTGGAGTTGAAAATCATGAAAATCGGACAATTTTGAAGCTAGAACTTTTTTAAATTTCGAGTTTTGGACCATTTTCTTCAGATTTTGGACTGTATTTCATAAATTTAAAGCCGTTTTTCATGGCTTTAAACCAGTTTTTATGGATTTTGGTCCATTCTCCATGAATTTAAGTTCATTTTTCAAGAATTTAGGGTCATTTTTTGTGGATTTTAGACCAGTTTTCATGGATTTTAAGCCATTTTTTGATGAATTTCAGTCCATATTCAGCAAAATCTGTGATAGAAAACTCACCGTTCCAGTAATCTATGTCCCAGGGACGTATTCGAAAATACCCGATCCAACCATGCCGTCTCGTTCATCCTTTTTGCATTCTACAGCGAATTTTCTGGAAAAAATAGGACATCTGGATAAGCAGATACACAGATAGAGAAAAAAGAAAAAATCTATTAAAAATGGCCCAAAATTCATGAAAGGGGTCCAAGAATGATGAAAAAGAGCCAAAATTCATGAAAAATAATCCGAAATCTATGAAAAATGGTTCAGAATCCATGAAAAATGCTCAAAAATCCATTAAAATTGCTTCAAAATTTATAAAAATAGCTCAAAAATCATGAAAAAATATCTGAAATCTTTGGAAAAATAGTTCAAAAATCATGAAAATTGCTTCAAAGTGTATGGAAAATAGCTCAAAACTCATGAAAATTAGTCTAAAAATTATGAAAACTGATCAAAAATTTAAGAAAAATGGACCAAAATATATGAAAATGGCTCTGAACTCATGAAAAATGGTCAAAATCCATTAAAACCGGTTCAAAATTCATGAAAAATGCTTTACTTTGAGCCACTTTATCTCGATTCCTGTGAAAGATATTTGAAAAGTTGTCAACTGATAAAATGTTTATCACAATATCACAAACATTTTATCAGTTGACACATTTTCCATATCTCTTATAGGAGCCGAGATAATTCAGCTCAAACTTTCAAAAGTTTGAGCTTACTTTTTATCAGTAATTTGTGAGGTCAAAGTTAAAAGTTAGGGTGCCCTTCTATTACAGGTTTTACAGTATATAACTTTTTATCAGTAGAAGAATGATCAAAAATCAAAGAGAGTGAGAGAGGAGGAAATGTTTCGTTGGAATCTTCTGTTAGCATGATCACTATTAAAACTTTCTAATGACGTAATGAGAAAGAGACTGAGAAGGAGAGAAAGAGAGAGAAAGAGAGAGAGAGAGAGAGAGAGAGAGAGAGAAACAGACAGAAGCTGTGTTATTCTGATGGACCGGTCTAGTCTTCGTCCAAGTGACTAACAGAAGGCTAGACGAAAGAGTATGGGATATGGAGAGAGTGGTTAGAGAAAAAGAGAATGTGATTGTTAAGGTGGTTTGTGATTCGGAAGGATGGATGAAGCTGTCGGGGAGATAGACTATAAGTGGTTGGTTGGAAGTTTGATGTGTGTTTGTAGCTTTTCGGTTACTGTAGATGGGAAAATATTAGAAGAGCTGAAAATACCGTAAAACCTCTAATAGAACGACACCCGGATCGTCCACTTGCCTATATATCTCATTTTCTGTGAAAGATATCAAAAAGTGGCTAACTAATAAAATGTTGCTGATATCCTGATAAACATTTTACTTGTTAACCACTTTTTGATATCTTTCAAAAGAAGTGAGATATATAGGCTCAAAGTGGACGATCCGGGTGTCGTTCTATTAGAGGTTTTACGGTAGGTTACTGTAGCCTAGGGAAAACTCGGAAGAGCATGAAAATCGGGCAATGTAAAACTAGAATTGAAAAATCTTGTCTTTGAGCTAGGAATTTTAGAAATTTTTTGATTTTCAAGAAATTTTTTAAAAACGACTTTAATGGTTTTTGAACTGACTTCCATTAATTTTGGAAACTTTTTTGAATAATTAATCTAATTTCGGATCTCAGAAGGATTGTGAGAATTATTTAATAATCATCCAAATTTATATAATAGAAAGTGTGACCGGATTTATATAGATTTTTCAAGAAGATAAAGGATACCTAAGTGTAAGAAGTATTATTACAGTAACAAAGGTTTTGTTACTGTAATAGTTTAAATACTCTTCAAAAGTTACAATTGAAGATTTCGAAGAGAGAAGGAAAGGAGAGTTTAAAGGCGCATAACTTTAAAAAAGAGGATTTTCGAAAGATAGAAAAATGAAGGCAAATTCAAGAGCTCCAATTAACCATGTTTTGATAGCTACTGTAGTTTTTGAGCTGTACGCCTTTAAAGTTAGACGACATCCCAATGCGCTGAAGGAGGTGGGCACCTGCTATGTCAATTTCAAAGGCTCATATCTCAAAAACTACAGTAGCCAGAAACACGAGACCTAATGTAAATTATCAGAAATCTTTTTAGATACATTGTCATAGTTTGACATTTTTACTAACTACAGTGGTTTTTGAGATATGCGCCTTTAAAGTTAGCTCATCCGGGCGAGAAGCGCCCCAAAAGGAGGGGTCAGGCCTTAACTTTAAAGGCGCACATCTCCAAAACTACGGTAGTTAGAAAAAAGTTGTCAACTCCAAAACTTCTTGGCATTCAATTTTGCACTTTTTCGTAGTTTAAAATTATTTTCCAGCTACCGTAGTTTTTGAGTTATGCGCCTTTAAAGATGGGGGGGGGGGAGCGCAATTTTCAAAACTTTTCGGGCCGTTTTTCAGCAAAAAATTTAGGGATTTTTGCCAAAATTTTCAAACGATTGCCTACGCATTTCTTAAAACCCAAAAAAAAACGCCTAAATGAATCGTGTGAATGGCAGATCGTCAGATCACAATCTCGGCTTTCATCGGCTACAACCATTTGGCGGGGGGCGAATTTCATTTTCCTCCCTCTCCCCACCCCACAAATAGTCAGTTTGTCAGGGGAGCGGAGAAAAAAGGGAAAACCTGATTCGGGTTTGTTCCTCAGACAAGAGGTTTTCACTTCATTAGCACCAGACAGGTTCAAAAGGAGGGGACATCTGGACAAACAGAGGTGCCAGCAGTAAGACGACATATGTTTAAAGGCGCATATCTCAAAAACCAAGCTAGCTAGAGAAATGTGAAGCATTTAGAAATGTTGGATATAGTTAGCTTAACAATTTTGCAGTTACTCATTGTTCAGTAGCTACCGCAGTTTTTGAGCTATGCGCCTTTAAAGTTGGTCTATCCTACCTATGCCGCTCCACCTCGGAGGGTGGGCGCCTGAAGGACCGCTGCATAGGGACCACTTCAACTTTAAAGGCGCATATCTCAACAACTACGTTAGCTAAGAAAATTTTGCTAACGATCTCTGGATTTGCAATGCTGCTGTATTCTTGCGGATGAGTGCACTTGAATACACCATTTCACCCCGCCGCAGACAGATTCTCCTCCGTTTAATGGGGATTATTATTTGTACCCGCTTGGGGCACCGTATCTGACTAGATATTCTGTATTTTTAAAAAATCTATATACCAAAATATAGAACTCAACCAGCTCTACAAAATGGTATAAAATTTGATAGCTTTTGATTGCTAGAAAATTTTAAAAATTCGAAAATCTACCGTGTACACTCTATTAGAAGACTACCCTATACTTTCCTTTGAGCTCAATTATCTCAATTACTGTAAGAGATAGCAAAAATCTGTCAACTAATAAAATGTTTGTGATAACATCACCAACATTTTATCAGTTGACACCTTTTTCATATCTTTTATAAAAATTGAGATATTTAAGCTTAAAGGGATGACCTTCTCAAGGAGTGTTTACGGTAAATGAATAGCTTCTAAAATGAATCCAAAATGTTACACCTTCAAATCCTCTCCGACAAATCTCCTTGTCCACAATTAACACACAATAGAAATTGCGGAACGTGCCATTTAGACACACATGCCCGCGCAAAAGAAGAAGATGACGCCAACAAAACAATCCAGAAACAAGAATAGCGGTTGCTTCTTTAGATATCTAAACTTGGAGGGATTCTAACTAACCCTAAAATTGAGATACCCGCGATTTTAAAAATGGAAAATGTAGAACATGAAATTTTGCACATTTTACTAGTTAAACGTTTTTGATAGCTTTGCTAGTTTTTGAGATATGCGCCTTTAAAATCTAGCTCCTCTGCGCCTCTCCTCCTTGCCACCGCCTCCCATGGGAGTGAGAGATAGGACGGCGCGCAGACAATGCTAACTTTAAAGGCGCACATCTCCATAACCACGAAAGTTATTAAAAAGTTTCAAACTACTAAAACGTGTGAAATTTTTTGCTCTATATTCTTCTAGTTTACAAAAATTCAGTAGATACTGTGGTTTTTGAGATATACGCCTTTAAAGATGCTCTCCCCCGACACCCTCTTCCTTTGCCACAGTGGGGAGCCGCGCCAACTTTAAAGGCGCATATCTCAGTAACTACGGTAGCTAGAAAAATTTAAAAAAAAGCAAAAATGTTTGCAATTTCAAATTGAACAATTTTGTAACTGACAAAAGTGCCGTAGCTATTCTGGTTTTTGAGATATGCGCCTTTAAAGATGCTCTCCCCGACGCCCACTTCCATTCCGCAGTGGGGAGCCGCGCCAACTTTAAAGGCGCATAACTCAGTAACTACGGTAGCTAGTAAAATTCTAAACATACCAAAATGGTGGAAATTTTATACTGAGCAAATTCATGTTTACAAAATTTTGACAACTATTGTGGTTTTTGAGCTATGTGCCTTTAAACTTTAAGAATCAACCATTGGAAAAAATCAACTATAAGAGAAAACAAGGAAAATGATAGGGGGGGGGGGGGATATCTCGCGATGAAAGGCAATTATCAGAAGACAAAGAATTATTCTAGAGATAAAGAAAAAACAAGAGACGCAGAGAAAAAGAAGAGAAGGAGAGATAAAACTTGTTCCAAGAGGGGGAATATATATCCCGACATTTTCTCTTTTTCCTATTAACCAGAACCATTGGTGTGGGGGGGGGGGGGGATACGGTTATTACTTTTTAAAGGTACAGGAAAGTGATGGATTGGTGAGGAATTTATGAGGCGAAAATTGGAACGTCTTCTGTGAGGAATTCTGAAGAAGAAGGAAAAAAGTGAGGGAAAACGGACGGATTAAGGTCAAAGTACTGGAGAGAGGGGAGAAAATGGGATTTAATAGAGGGGAGAAAGTTATGTTTTTGATGTTTGGATGGTCAGAAAATTGGATGGTCCAGAAACGTGTTTTCAAATTTTCAAGAAAAAATCCCAAAAATCCAACTCCTCTAGAAACATTTTAATTTTACCAAAAATCTCGCCATTTTTTTAAGCATTGGGCAAACGACAGTCTGACTAAAATAATGTGCTTTTGTCGAAGAAAAAAAACTAGCAGCAAGGTGAGAACTACGGTAGCCCTTAGCGCGGTAAGGTGTCGGCTAACTTCAAAAGCGCGTATCTCGAAAACTACAGTGACTAGAAAAATTTTGAAAATATGAAAGTGTTGGAAATTTTATGCTGAGCAATCTTGCAGTTGACAAAATTTTAGTGGCTAACTTGCTTTTTGAGGTATGCGCCTTTAAAGTTGGTCTACCTTACCTGTTCCGCTCCTCCCGGAGGGTGGGCGCGGGATGAGAAAGGGAGGGGGCGGCAAACTTCAAAGGCACACATCTCTAAAACTACGGGAGTCAGGAAAACATAAAAAATATGAAATTGTTGGAAATGCTATTCTAAACAACTTTATGGTGAATAAAATTTTTGTGGCTGTTTTGGTTTTTGAGATATGCGCCTTTAAAGTTGGCCTACCCGGCGTCCTCCTCTTCTGTGTTCACCCCTCGATGGGAGAGTGCAGTTAGGGGTAGGTTAACTTTAAAGGAGCATATCTCCAAAACTACGGTAGCTAGCAAAATTTTGAAAATATAGAAATACAGGAAATTTTGTTTTAAATAATTTCTTAGTTATTAACTTTTTTATAACTAACATAGTTTTTGAGATATGCTCCTTTAAAGTTAGCCTACCCCGGCGCCCTCCTTCTTTGACGCAGGGGGCTGCTAACTTTAAAGGCGCATACCTCAAAAACCAAGCTAGCTCTCAAAAAATTTCCAACTAGTGAAATATAGGAAATTTTGCGTTTTTTTCATTTTTATAACTAGATCATTTCCAAAAGGCCTAGATTTCAGGAAGACGCAATCGACTCAAGCGGCCGTAAAGATCCCGATAAGCAGTGCCGTGATCAACCACTACCCGCTCAGAACGGACAACAAATGATTGCTCAGCCACAGCCAAATCCCCAGCAAAATGGTCCAAATCCAAATTGTAAAAATAATAACGTTATTATGGAGAAGACGTCGGAGAAGAAGGGAAATAAAAAGAAGAAGAGCTTCCCGAGGGAGAATCGGTTGACGAAGAAAAGAGCGAGAAGTAGGTTGAAATACTGTATCCAGCTAGAATTAGTTAAATGCAAAATGTAGAACATAAAATTTTACACATTTTGTTGCTTTTTCAAAACTTTGATATCTACCATAGTTTTTGAGATTTGCGCCTTTGCGCGCGCTCTACCCCTTGAGGTGGCGCGCACAAGAAAGGGGTGGAGGGCGCACCAACTTTAAAGACGCATATCTCAAAAACAACGGTAGCCACTCAAATTTTGTAAACTACGAAAATATATAAAACTTAATGTTTTACATTTTTGTAGTCAACAATTTATTGATAGCTCTCCTAGGTTTTGAGCTATGCGCCTTTAAAGTTGTCTAACCCAATTATTTTTCCAGAGACTCGCGACGATGACACTATCTCGAATGTAAGCGATTTTTAAACTTCTTTTTGAAAATGTTTTGGCGCCAAATTCAAATTTCCAGATTCCCGAAGAAATGCCCGATTTGGAGATCAATCGTGAGCACACCGAGCCATTCTACACGGATGATCAGTTGATGTAGACAAAAAATAATGGCGAAGAAAAAATCTACTTGTAGAATTGTATTGTTTTTTTTTTGAAAATTGAGAGAATAAATGAGATTTTCAAGATCTTTTTTTGTTAATTTTGGATTTTTTAAAAATCATTTTTCATCGGCTTATCGGAAACCCCACCCCTTTTTTTTTTGAAAGCTCCGCCCCTTTTTATGGGTCCATCCGGGTGCCCCATATGTGAAGAAGGGAGAAAAAACTTCCCAGAAGGAATGAGAAGATTACGGTATTTAAAATCTTTCCAAAAAATTCCATTTTCCAGTGTTTCTGAGCGATTTTCGCGAAAATGCACAAATGGCGCAGTGGGATTTTCTACATTGGTCGCTACCAATCTGACGACCCGGGTTCGACTCCTCTCGGTGGCAAATATTTTTTGCTTCGTTTTTCGAGCATTTTCAGACCGTCCCAAATATACTAGAAATCAAATTTTGAATATTTCAAAAAAATCCAAATTTCGAAAATTTTTCACAAAAATTAAGTTTTCAAAATTAGTGGGAAATATATGATTTCTAGGACATAAAATCTTGCAAAAAATAATAAAAACTGTTTAAAACCCGGAAAAATTTCATTTTCCAGTGTTTTTAAGCGTTTTCCGAAAAATTGCAAACATGGTGCAGTGGGATTTTCCGCATTTTCCGCTACCAATCTGACAACCCGGGTTCGATTCCTCTCGATGGCAAACGTTTTTGCTTCGTTTTTCAAGCATTTTCAGAGAATTTCAGATGGATTTGAAGCAAAAATCGAAAAAGAAATTTTTTGAAAAAATTATTTTTTTTTCTGAAAATTTCAGATTTTCCAAAATTCCCGAAATTCCAGCTCTAGAATGCTTAAAATTAGTCTAAAATGGTCTACACAAAAATCAAAAAGTCTTTCCACCGAGAGGAATCGAACCCGGGTCGTCAGATTGGTAGTGGAAAATCCCACTGCGCCACTTTTGCAAATTTTGTAAAAACTTCAAAAAACGCTGGGAAAGTGGTTTTTAGGAGGTTTTAATGGGATTTTGAGGTGTTTAAGATATTCTAAAAGTTAGTTTAAGCTGTTTTTAGGCGTTTTTCTGCTAAAATTAGCCATTTTTTCCCCAGAAATATAGATTTCGCTTTCAAAAAACCCATAAATCATTTTGTAACCCAATTTCTCCCTATATGTTCCTTTTTCATATATTTTTATGTACATCCAATTCTCCTTTTTTGGCAATGCCGTACCAGAATAATTTCCACGGCAAATCGTCACACTTCATCAATCACTATTCCCCCTTTTCCCTCCCGGCGGGAGTCAAAGGGGGCGGAGCCTAAATCCGGATTCAAGAATCATATGTTTTTCCGCTTTTTTTTCGGTGTCAGAAAAATATACACAGAATAATGATGCATAGTTCGAATTCCCACTGAAAATAATGAATTGTCAAGGATTACTGTACTTGATTCTTCTTTTTCCTTGGAGGTACTGTACTTACCATCACCACCAGATACCCCAGTACCATGGAGATTATCATCAGGAGATTCAGAATTTTCATGATGATGTGGGAAGTCAGATGGGGTACCCCACAGGCCCACCACCATCGGAATCTTATCAGGTAAAATCTCTTTATGGTCGAAATATCCTTAAAAATGGTTTTTCGGAGCAGAAACACTGATTTTTCAATGTTCTTTGGCTGAAATTGACTTCCAGAGTCCCTTAATCAGCTTAAAATCTTATAAAAACTACCTAAAAATCAATTTCCCGGCGTTTTTAGCGTTTTTTCGAAAAATTGCAAACATGGCGCAGTGGGATTTTCCACTACCAATCTGACGATCCGGGTTCGATTCCACTCAGTGCCAAACCTTTTTTTATTTTTGTATGGATCATTTTTAGACTTTTCTAGAGAATTCTAGAGCTGGAATTTTGATTTAAAAAATTTAAAAATTTTTTTAAACTTTAGTTTTTCTAAAAACTCCAGATTTTCGAAATTCCAGCTCTAGAATGTTCTAGAATAGTCTGAAATGGTTTAAATTAAAATAAAAAAGTTTGCTATCAAGAGGAACCGAACCCGGGTCATCAGGTTGGTAGTGGGAGATGTGGAAAATCCCACTGAGCCAAAAGTGCAATTTTCGGGAAAATGCTCGAAAATACTGGAAAAATGAAATTTTCAAGATTCGATACTATTTTTAGCATATTTTTCAAGGTTTTTTGTTCTAGAAATCATATTTTTAACAAATTTTGAAAAAAAAAAATTTTTCAAATATGTTTCAAAAATTCAGATTTTTTGAAAATTTCTATTTTTGACATCTAGAATGTCTAAGCAACGCTTTGAAAATGCTCAAAAAACTAGCAAAAAAGATTGGCCACCAGGTGGAATCGAACCCGGGTCGTCAGATTGGTAGTGGGAGATGTGGAAAATCCCACTGAGCCAAAAGTGCAATTTTCTGAAAAACGCTCAGAAACACTGTAAAAAGGGGGTTTATAGAAGTGGAAACTGTTTTTATCAATTTCGAAACTTTTTTTTCTCCTAGAAATCATATTTTCAACCAATTTTGAGAAATTAAATTTTTTTTCGAAAAATTTCAAAAATTGAGATTTTTGAACATTCTAGTTTTCCCCCGAAATTTCAGCACTAGAATGTTCAGGAATAGCCTCAAAATTGTATCCACAAAAATAAAAAAGATTTGGCACCGAGAGAAATCGAACCTGAGTCGTCAGATTGTTATCGAAAATCCCACTGAGCCAGAAGTGCATTTTTCTGAAAATCGCCCAAAAAACTGTAAAAACGCTAGAAAAAAATGAATTTTTGAAGGTTTTACGCAATTTTAAGCAATGAAGAAATTCCAGATGGACCACCAACACCACCCGAACTACGAAATACCCCCAGAATCACATCATCCATCCCCTTCCGCCGCTTCTTGTCTCTCCAGAATCCGTCTAGCCGCCTCGTTCGACCCACAAATTTCCACAAAAATCAATCGATTTATCGATTCCATGAGAATCGATCGATTGAGAGCCTATGTTTGTGAGCGGGTCAGTTTATTCTCATTGTAGCACACTTTCTGACCCTAAACGCCATTAAACGCGCTCTAATACCAATTTAAGCGTATTTATCAATAGAGCGCACTTGCAGACTGCCTATTTCTGTGATGAAGCTCAACAAAAAGGAGTGGGTGATCTATTCCATCAATTCGATCGATCGATTGAAATTATCGATCGGGTCAAAGGCCAATTGACCACTACGGAAAAGGACCAATTAAATATGATGGAGAATTTGAATGATACACTAGCAGAGCAGACATTTTTTGTTTATAAATTTCATGTAAGTCTTAACTTTGAAAATTTAAAAAATTAATTTTTTTTTTTTAATTTTCAAAATTATCTTGTTCCAGCAACTCAATCCAGTGGACTTAGCCGTCTTAACCTCTGCTAAGACCTCCCTGACCACTGCACTATCCTCAAGCACCCCTGATGCGGCTCTCAGCAAAGCAATGGGCTCTTTTAGCCCTCAAGACTTGGAAAAATTGGCGGTAACTTTTTTGAATTTTGTCTTTTTTTGAATTTGAACTTTGAAGTTGAATTCAGCATGAAAAGAGCTTCAAGATGAGTATAAACAAGCCTGGTTTTCATCGATTTTATGAGTTTTTCAATAGAGCGCACTTGCTGACCCCAGGTGGTCAGTAAGTGCGCCCTATTGGATTTAGATAGATTTTCACGGGGAAAACTTGTTTTCCAACTAAATTGAGGTCGTAGAATTCGAATTTAACGTTGAAAACTTTCTGAAATGAGTATAAACTCGTCTTTTTCTCAATAGAGCGCACTTTCTGACCCCAGGTGGTCAGTAAGTGCGCCCTTTTGGACTTTGACAAATTTTCTCTCAGGAAAATCCGTTTCCGACTAATTAGAAGTCGTAGAATTCAAATTCCATGTTTAAAAACCTTGAAATTCCGATTTGCAGACATTTCCAGTCGCCCATCTACCCGAAGAGGTACGTAGCCACTTGGCACGATGCCAAATCACGGCACCCGAAGTCGTTCATGATACAGTGGCGTTTTTGTTATCAGTGATAGGATCCAAACATAATAATTGATGAAAAAAAGCAAATTCGCTCTATTGACAATCTTTTTTTTGTATTTTCAAGGATGTTTTAGAATGAAAAATTACTTTATTTTATCAAAATGAATAAAAAATCGATAAATCAGAATGTCTAAAAATCTTCCGAAGTCTTCAAATCCTTGTAAATCTTGTCACGAAGATCTTCCAAGAAGCTTCTTCTCCATTTGTAGGTCACTGGTGCGAAGCTGAAAAATAGGGTTAAAAAATGAGGGTACATGATATATACCGTATATCTCGAAAACTAAAAAAGATTTTGAAAAATGGTCAACTACGAAAATTTAGAGCTTGAAATTTTACATAATTTTGTAGTTGACAAATTTTTAGTAGCTACAGTAGTTTTTGAGATATGCGCCTTTAAAGTTAGCGGTCACCCCTTGTTCGTGCCCACCGGAAGGGGTGAAAGGCGCGCCATCTTTAAAGGCGCATAACTCAAAAAGTACGGTACCTAGAAAAATGTATTAAATTTGAAACATGTGTAGAACTTTACGCTCTACATTATCCAATTTACAAACTTTTGATAACTACAGTAGTTCTTGAGATATGCGCCTATAAGTCGGCGCTCCTGCATCTCTTCCTTGAGCGTGCAAGGGGTGGAGGTATATCTCAAAAACTACAGTAGGTAGGCAAAAATTGTAAGTTGAAAAATGTGCAGAATTTCATACTCTACATTTTACAGTTTACAAAGTTTTAATATTTTGTTTAGTTCTCGAGTTATGCGCCTTTAAAGTCGACTGCCTCTGCGCCCCTCACACGCCTCTGTAGGAGGGGCGCCGAGTAACCCAAATTTAAAGTCGCATATCTCAAAAACGAAAAAAGCCACTATAAATATGTTTACAACAAAATTGCTTAGCATAAAATTTCCTATCTTTCCATATTTTTAAAATTTTTCTAGCTACTGTAGTTTTTGAGCTATGCGCTTTTAAAGTTGAGGGCGCGGGGTGCGGGAGGACAGGGGCGCAGGGTAGTCCAACTTTAAAGACGCATAACTCAGAAACTACAGTACCTATCAAGAAGCTGTTTTCTAACAAAATGTGTAAAATTTTATGCTCTACATTTTGCCAATTTACAAAAATTCTCTATCTTGTATGCTTTTTCTGAAAAACCCACTTCCACTTATCAGGCTGTCCAAAATGTGGAACCTTGTCTGTCAACGAGCTAGTTCTCCAGTCGAAAATCGGAACATCCTTGGTGACACCACCCGGTGGACCAGAGACAGCTGTGAATTGAAGGTCTTGGATGAGTTTGGAGTTGGTGACCTTCACATCGATAGCTCCATGGTCACGGAAGCCAAGGGACTAGAAATTTTGGAATTTTGAGATTTTCAAACTCCTAAGGGTTCTAGCCAACCTTAAATGGATACGTTCCATTCACGGGATTCAAGTCTGATCTGCAGGCAATAGCATTTTCAGCAGAATACGGTGGATTACAGTCACATTTGGATAGTGGATCCTTCGTATAGTTATTGGATCTCATTAGCGCTATCATTGATTCCATATCATGCACATTTTTGTGATCTCTTGCAAAGATTAGGGCTCTTGGGGTCTTATCATAACTGTACCAGTCGCCATACTTCTCTACCATCTTATCAGTATCTGATAATCTGATAATTTGTTTGTAGTATGGTTGATTATATCCTGGCCAATAAGTTGTGCGGAATAGATGGGCGGTTTTGTCCGAGTGCACAATGTGTCCTCTACAAAAATTGAGTTTAGCGGAAAGAGGAAGAGAGATAGATGAGTAAGTTTAACTAGAGAATTGTAGCTCTTAAAATTTGACGTATTTTGTTAATTGTGCAATTTTTAATAGATTTTGTAGTTTAACTTTAAAGGCGCATAACTTTAAAGGCGCATAACTCAAAAACTACTGTAGCTAGCGGAAACTAGTAAGCTAGAAAAATGTATTAATTTTCATTAATTTTATCTTGCAATTTACAAAATTGAAATAGCTAAACTAGTTTTTGAGATATGCACCTTTAAAGGTGTCGCGCCCTGCTCCTCTTTTTTCGGGCGCGCGCCAAATTTAAAGACGCATAGCACAAACGCTACAGTAGCTGGCAAAAACTAAATAACCATTAAGATGTTTAAAATTTTATTATCTTCCCTTTTGATTTTACGAAATTCAAACATCTAGCCTAGTTCTCAAGATATGCGCCTTTAAAGATAACCGACACCCCTTTCAGTGGCGAAAAGAGAGGAAGGCGCCGGGTAGTCTCTAACTTTAAAGGCGCATATCTTGAGAACTACGGTAGCTACTGAAATTTTGTTACTCTGAAAAATGTAGCTTATAAAATTTAACACATTTCACTATTTTATTATATTTAATAGATACCGTAGTTTTTGAGATATGCGCCTTTAAAGTTGCTCCTCCTCTGTAGAGCGCGCGCCAATTTTAAAGGCGTATAACTCCAAAACTACAGTATCTATTAAAAAACTATCAACTAACAAAATACGCCAAATTTCAAGCTCTATCTACTCAATACAACCAAAACTCACGGCATCTGCTCGACAACATGAATAATTCCAGTCTCCGGTTGAACTGGTTTTCCTCTATGGAATTGCTTATAATCCACCACAACCCATTCATTATTATAAGTTCCACTATTATGTCTTCCGAATGCTTCAGCCCATTGCAATCCAGATGATGATGTACGATGAGCAATCTCAGCGCGAATCCAAGTGAGTACGGTATTTGGGGTGATCAGGTCGAGCGATTTCTCATTGTAGTTTCCAATGGTGGTTTCCAGAATTGCCAATTTTGCAGATGTCAGAATGAAGTCGTCAGTGGAAGTGATAGAAGCTAGAATAGAAGGAAATTCATGTATTTTTTCATTTTTTACAAAATTAAAATAACTATTTTAGTTTTTGAGATATGCGTCTTTAAAATTAGGCGACCCCTCTGGAAAAGAAGGCAAATTTAAAAGCGCAGATCTCCAAAACTAAGAAAGCTAACAAATATCTGTAAAATGGAACAAGAAGCTCTTAAAATGGTTAACAACTTTGTAGTTTACCACTTTCTAATAACTCACTTTGTTAGTGAGTTATGCGCCTTTAAAGTTGGCCTACTTAGCGCCCCTTACGCCACCGCCCCCATGTTGGGTCGCCAAATTTTAAAGGCGCATATCTCAAAAACTACGGTATCTACCAAAAAGCTGTCAACTACAGAAATGTAGCGAATTGAATTTTCTACAATTTAACAATTTACAAAATCAATCTATCTTTCATGGGTCTTGAGTTATGCGCCTTTAAAGGTAACCTCTCCTATTGTGCGTGCTCGCGCCACCCAAGCTCCCAGGTTAGAGACGCAGACAGCTACAGTGTTACCTGGATAACTGGAAAACGAGTAGACCTGTCCTGGATCTCCGGTTTTGAAGCTGTATTTCTTGTTGATTCTCAACATGGTACCATAGGAAGACCAGGTGACGTGTGAGAAGAGGATGTCTTCGTTGTTGGGAAGGAGCTGGAATACTAAATTAGTTGTATCTCAACAACTGAGACGTACATTAGTATAAAACTAATATCAAAATGAATAACATAAAATTTCCAGTATATTGGTGGTAAAATCATAAAGCTACCTAAAATATAAGCTGAGTTAGAGTGATTTTATGCTCAAACAAGTTGAGGGATTTATTTTTAATTTTAAAGGCGCATAACTCAAAAACCAAACATGCAACTAAAAAGTTTTTAACTACAAAAATGTTGCAAATTTTATAAGCTACATTTTTGTAGTTTTTTACTTTTTTCTAGCTACCGTACTTTTTGAGTTATGCGCCTTTAAACACTATAGGTACCCCTACCTTGACCAGTGCTGAGCAATGTCCCGGTCCCGAAAACACTTTCTTGGGGTTTTCCGGTTTTTTAAACTTCAAGGCGAGGTCCTCAAGGTCTCCAGCAATTTGAATCATGCTGAAAATTCAGAATTTTGTGTGTCTGTGGGTCCAGATGTCCCGATGTCCGCGAAACTTACAAAATCGGATGCACAGCGATTTCTTTGAAGTTAATCGGGGCTCCTAGCTGATTTTCATAGCCGTGAATCAGGCCAAAAAGTTGATTGAGGGTTAGATTAACCTGTTGCCAGTATTCGTCTTCTGGATTTTGCTGAAAATTCCAGATTTTAAGACATTTTCATAATTGTTCGGCTGTAACCCATTTGGAGGAAAAAATACGTTATTTTTAACGGATTTTTGTGGTTTTTGACCTCAAAATTTGCAATTTTAAGGTTTTTTCTCCTCAAATTTCCATGTTCACCTTGATTTCCATCTCCATCCACTTCAAATTGTCGACCATAAACTCGCCGAGCTCATCACAAAAGTGTTTCGCGCCGTCGCAGTACCCATTGACGGTGTTAATGATGTGCAAGTCGATCATATCACGAGTCACACGACCTGAATTTTGATTTTCCGGTTTTTTTCTGTTTTTCGTCGCTTTTTTTTTCATGTTTTTATGCTCAAAATCTCATTTTTTTTATACTAATTAATTTGAATTTCTTAGGTTTCCCTCCAAAACGATTTCGCAACGACACTCCGCTATCCCGCTTGTACGCTTTGTTTACCGTAAATCTACACGAAAAATCGGCAATTTTTTTGAGTCAACTCAACAGAAAATTGGTCTGAAAACTTGATTTTCAGTGTTTTTTCCGATTTTTTTTTCAGTTTTTTTTCTATTTTCACCTGAAATTCACCTGGAAATCCTTAAATAGTCGAAGAATGTCCCGCAAAGTTATGAAATTTCGAAAAAATCAAAAAATAGTGAAAATTGCATTTTTAGGCTTTTTTTCTCATGATTTCTAGGCTGTAAAAGCTTGAAAATATTGAATTTTGGCATGAAATCTCATTATTTTCCCGATTTTCAACGATTTTCCCCTGTAAAAATCACCTTCAGCGAATCCAGCGGCGTATCCTTGCAAATAATGCGGAGTTTTCGGGCTGATGACGTCGACTTCAAGGAATGCCCATCTGAAAATTCAAAAGTTCTAGAATTTACTGAAATAAACTGGAAAAAAATTTGTTTCGAAAAAATTTTTTTTTTTGGAAAATTTATTTATTTTCTGAATTTCCAAAAAATCGATTTCCAGAGTTAAAATCATCTGGAAACGCCGAATTGTCGCTTAAAAATCTGAAATTCCGCTTGCTAATGCCATTTTTCAGTAATTTTCCCCAAAAATCAATATTCCCCCCTAAACAAACAATTCCCGCCCTGAATCATTATGTACTTACCCCGTTTGGTTGACTTCATCATGGAAATAAGCCGTCGCGAGACGTTTTCCACACAAATCCCCATCGGAAACCCTTCCTTCCTTGTAAGAATACAGTTTTCCATCGGTTTGCTGGCATACGGTATACTGAAAAGTGGTTTTTATTCGATTTTAGGAGGTTTTTAAGGGTTTTAGAGGCCAAAATTTGTGTTTTTCAAGCTACAAACCCTCTAAAACAGCGATTTTCGGGTCTAGAAACTCCTAAAATCTTACCGCTCTCTCAATACTCCTCGTTTCCGCTCCAATCGCCAAAAAACTGGCCACCAGAAGCCAAAATTTCAGCATTTTCTGGAAATGCTGGCCAACGCGAATTCGCTGTTTCGACTCGGTGCTGATCCGACGTTTGAGCGCCGTTTCACGGGTCCCTTGCAGTTGCAGCAGGTATCTAAAGTGTAATAGCATTGACCCCAAAAAAATTGGTGTCAGGTGGTCAAAATGGCACAAAAACGCCTTGAAATTGATCAAAAAAGCTCTAAAATAGCTTTAAAATAGCTCAAAAGTGGGTTAAAATAAATAGCTTAAAATAGCACAAAAATGGCTTAAAATAGCTCAAAACCCGCAAAAAATAGCTCAAAAATGGCCTAAAATAACTCAAGAATGAATTGAAATTGCTCTAAAAAGACCCAAAAATGGCTCAGAAATGAGCCAAAATTGACCAAAATGCACTAGAGCTTTAATTTAGGCAGTTTTGGAGCCAATTTGAACCATTTTGGGTCATTTTTTTATGGATTTTGATGCTATTTTCAGCCAAAAAATGGGTTTTTCGATCCGCAAATCGACAAATGAGCTCAAAAATGGTATAAAGTTGTAGAAAATCGAGCCAAAATTGACCAAAAATTACTGGAATTTTTTGGGATTGCTCAGCCTTAATTCTGGTGAATTTAAGGCCAATTTGGACTCATTTTAAGC